GCCTATTGGGAAATGCCTGTGCAACATAGGATACGAGGAATGGGGAGTCGCTTGCCAAGGTAGAGTTTTTCTCTCACACGCACACTTTTCTCCTTACAGTGCCTTTTTCATTTCACGGACCATTTTCTTCCTTTCATCAGCGTAATGTACTAGCACCAGCACTGTAGACAGCGGCTCTAAATGGGACAACTGAGTGTGTCCCTGGAATACCATTCATTTGCTTATGCTGCTCATTGTCTGTAATGGCGAAGCATTTGGTTCACGATGGAAATGTTTTTAAACTCCATGGTGAGTTGAGTATCTGTCCCGCGCTCAGAGTGCAAATGGATTTTTCCCAGATACGGAGATACCTCTGATCTGTCAGCCGTGCTCTGGAGAAATTAATATGAGAGTCCTGTGTAAGCGAAGACAGAGAAGATCTGTGGTGCAGACCCCCTTATAGGGCAGCTTGAAGCAGTTAAGCTTGTGAAGCACTTCTCTGCGTCACTTCATCAGATGCACAAATAGATGTACGTTAGTCATTGAAGAGGGATACGTGTGTCTGTTTGATGTGAAGCATATGAGATTTTTGCTGCATTATGTGGACATTTTTAGAGTCTAAAGACACAAATTCTCTTTATGGGCTCATATTTAAATATTTTAAACTGTTGAAAAGAGAATCTCTTGGCGATCTTCCTTTGTCCCGGATTACATTCAGAAAATCAGAGTTAGAATTCGGGTGTTAATGTAAATCACAGAGAAAGCCAAAGGACCATCTGTGGAAATATCATAGCGTTAGGGGTACAACATCTTGTCCCTGGGTCAGTACCCTTACTTAGGGGTAAGTATTTTCCCCTGAAAAGGTTCATAGTAGTTCCTTAAGGTGTTACTCTGCATTTTTTCAATGCATACCTTAAGGCAGTGGTTCTCAATTACAGTCCTCACGACCCCGTAGTTCGAAGGGAACTACGAAGGGAGCATACATGTTCCATTCAAAGGGCATTAAAGTGTGCGAGACGTGAATTT